AGTAAGTAAGTAGGTAAGTGAGTAAGTAAGTAAGTGAGTAAGTAAGTAAGTGAGTAAGTAAGTAAGTAAGTGAGTAAGTAAGTGAGTAAGTAAATAAGTGAGTAAGTTTGTAAGTAAGTGAATAAGTAAGTAAGTGAGTAAGTGAGTGAGTAAGTAAGTGAGTAAGTCAGTAAGTGAGTAAGTAAGTGAGTAAGTGAGCGAGTAAGTAAGTGAGTAAGTAAGTAAGTGAGTAAGTAAATAAGTGAGTAAGTTTGTAAGTGAGTAAGTAAGTGAGTAAGTAAGTGAGTAAGTAAATAAGTGAGTAAGTTTGTAAGTGAGTAAGTAAGTGAGTAAGTAAGTGAGTGAGCAAGTAAGTAAGTAATTAAGTAAGTAATTAAGTAAGAAGTGAGTAAATAAGTAAGTAAGTGAGTAAGTAAGTGTGTAAGTAAGTGAGTAAGTAAGTAAGGGAGTGATAGGTTTAATTTTAATATACATGTTTTGTCATTCCAAAACTCAATCATCCTGTGGTGAACTTTGTCTTAGTTACAGTGAACTTTTGCTGTCGTGAACTTTGCTTGTTGCTGTGCTGTTATGATCTTTCTCCAAATAGATAATAATGACTTGCAGAACACAGGAAGGAGAAATGGTCACTCGGGACTTTCTGATGCACGCCTATGGTTCCTGAAGATGCACAAGATGGATGTGGGGAAGCAGACGTGAAAAAGACCAACTAAGCAGTGTTCAATAATTGTGCTTATGATTAATGTCTGACATGAGACTTGCACTTTCCCCCCTTCTCTTAGGCAGTTTCATGTCCATGTTACTAGGGGCATAAAAACTAAATAAAAGAGGGTGAACTGCAGGAAATCCTCAGAATGTTGGGTTGGAGGTACTGAGCTGACTTCCTGTCCTGCGTTCTCCTCACTCTTGTCAAAGCTGAGTTTGACTGTCTCTTTCTTCCTTGTTTGTATTTGTAAATGTTCTAGATAATTTTTTACCTGTCAGGGAGTAAGTAAGGGAGTAAGTCAGACTAATATGACCAAATCTTGTAAAGTAAAAGCCCAAGTTATATACTAATGAGTTCAGAAACACCAATTAAATAATACCAACTTCGGGAAAAAATGAATATGTCTAACAATTTTGGAAACACTGCTAAATTTAATTTATGTAAATAACATAAATGTTATACACTGCTTTATTTAAACATAATAATACAACTGCAGACGGAACAAAAAGTCTGGAAGAAGGTAGTTTTGTTATCACACACTGTCCTGGTGGTCTTCTTTCAGTCCTTTTGCTGCAAATAAATGTTTTCAGTTATTTCATTAAACAGAGACAGCTGCTGTCTGTTCTGAACAACTCACAATGAGAAATATTCATCTTAGTAAGTCATTCACCTCTAACTCTTATTTTACATATTTAATTTGTTCAGTTATATTCGTCCTCAAACACAGTGCTTACATAGAAAACCAAAACCATCATGAAAGTAAACAAATATATATTTTTACTAATCATTATATTGTAATGGCTTATAATATGAGCAGCTTTTTTTCTAATGGTCACAGACAATAAATGTGTGATGCAGCCTCATCCTGGGATGGTATATAGAATGAAGCTGGGTCTATATGCTCTCTGAGGGGTGACAGTATATAATTACAGTTCCTGGTCTCTTTTGTTTCATCAGTGTTACTGTAAATCCTGAGCAGCCAGCAGCTGCCAAGTCACAGAATGAGAAGTCTTCACCCACAAATCTCTTTCCTCTCCTCCTTGTTCAGTTCAGGCTCAGTTCCCTAAAATGCTGAGGGGAAAACATTTCTTTTAGGTAATAACAAACCCTGACATGTCACATTCGTCGTACAAGTATTCAGACATTTTGCAACAACATCTGAAATTCAGCTTGGATGTGTTCATTTTGCTGAAATGTCTTTATACCATGACGGGAATATAGCTGTCATAAATCTAATGGGTTGAACATGATTTGGATGGAAATGCCTCCTATCTGATGATGTACTGTATATCAAGGCAAAATAAAATAGAAATCAGAGACAGGAAGGGCACATACGTTCCAGATGGACAACCAGAACAACAGGCTTTCACGGATCTAGGATTGAGTATCTGGACAGAGGTTCCTTCTTTATACAAAACACCTGAAAGTTGCTTGAAGGACTTTCATATTGTGAGGAACAAGATTATCTGTTGAACTGAGTGGACTGTTTAGTATTAATTCTAAACTTTATGTCTGGAGGAAACAAGGCACCACTCATCACTTGCCCAACACCGTCCTCACAGAGAACATGGTGGTGGCAGCATCATGGTGTGGAGGTGCTTTGGGCTGGTCTGGGTTACAGAAAGCTGAATGAAGCAAAGAACACATATATTCTAAAAATGTATTGGATTTTTTTTTTCAAATAGTCTAGATCAGTGGTTCCCAAAGTTGGGGTCAGGACTCCTTTGTGGGGTCACATAAAGTGAGGGTCCCCAGATTATTTCTAGACATCAATTTRAATGCAAATAAACTGCTAATTGATTATTTTCTCCATAATTATTGCAAATTTTTAAAATAATAATCATAAATGAATAAACTTAGTATTGTAGTTATAGGTTTGTTTATACTGTTATTATTCCCATGAGTTATTCGCAAAGTTTGCATATGTAAACAAGTAATATCTGGGGTCACCAGTTTCTGGAACTGTCATTTTGTGGGCCGGAAGGAAAAATTTTGAAAACCACTGGTCTAGATGCCAGTGCTACAGAAATAAAAACACTTTTACCTTTTTAAGAYAACAGTGCAGCGTAATCTTTAAGCTGTATAATTTTGTCTAGTTTAAGTTTTGTTAAAAATACTACATTGTTTTTAAAAGTTTCTGCTTTTTCATTTTCTGTATAAAAGTGACACAAAAACAGCCRAGCAGCCGTTCATTTTCCAACTGCTAAATCATCCGAGAAAAAGTAATCAAAGCAGAACATATCTACACAGCAGTTATATCTTTCCTAAACCATTCAAATCTTTTAATTGGGCTCTTGAGGCATTTCTCCTGAACATAGCAGTAATGTTTGAAACATAAGATAAAGCTCTTAAAAACGTCCCAAAAGGACGTGTTTATGTTGCTGATTCGCAAAATAAGATGTTGAACTCAGCACTCTGCCTAATGCAGAAGATTTAAATAGCTATTATAAAATGACCACATCATTCAAAAATAATCTCCCACGAGGCATTTTATTTTCATTTGAAAACAGTGTTGATTCTCATTAGGGCTAAAATAACCTGCTACTGTTGAGCCTTTAAATTTATATGTTACCGAAGTTGTCAAAGGTCACTGCTGTTGCTTGGAAATGCTGCACACACACACCCAGTATCTCACAGAGGGTTTATGAGGCCATATATACTTTCATCACGGCAGATGTTTTTACTCGTCAGTGATAGGAAACGACAGGTTAAATTCATCTTGGCTCAGCGCCATTAAGTGTCTCAGTAATTCATGAGAGTGAACCAGTAACAAAACCTGAAGTGCCGTCATCAGTTCTGTACCTGGGCTTTTCCTGCAGGAGAATTACATCAAGTCTCCCGTAAAAGCTACCTGACTGGAAGAAAACTCCAGCAAATCTCAATATTTTTTTGCCAGCTTGAAAGATGATTGCCTCATGAACCAAAGTGGATTTTAATCCGAAAGTAATCATTACCTCAAACTGATTACCTTTTGAAGTCAACTTGATTTACAATAAACTGTCGGCTGCAGCCACTCACCCTCAGCCAACATAAACAACTATAACCCAGTCATTTTACAAATATTAAGTTAACCCTGATAGTAGCTGAGTAGCCTTATCATGTATTCCAAGCATTAACAGATTGCACCAGATGTTTCTTTAATATATGTAGTAATATGTAGTATGCAATATGTAGTGTTTCAAGAAATGCCAAAGTAAATAATATTTTTGTGATCAATTAATCTCGTAAACCCCAAGAAGTTTTCTTCATCTGCTTGTTGTTTTAACTGTGTCTGATTGTTTTTTTTAGTGAGTTTTTAGCCAAGATTTCAACATTTCTATAAAAACCACACATGTCTATGTTTAACTAAGATAACTTAAATAAACTGGACATATAAAACCCTTTATCAAGTCCCATTAGTTTACACTACAGTCATGCACAAATTCACACACTGATGGTGGTGAACTACAGCCACAGCTGCCCAGGGGGGCCACTGACAGAGGTGGGCCATGCACCGGCTGCACTGGACCCCTTGACAAAAGCAGCAGGCAAGGTGGGTGAAGTATCTTGCCTAAGGAGATGACGACTGAGAGGGCTGGAATGGGGGGATCGAACCGACAACTCCCCTAACCACTCCGCCACAGCCGTTGTTGACAGTCATTAGGTTAATGACCAAAAAAAAAGTGAAATTCTGCCCCTGCCGGCAGGGGCATGGGGCTTAAGAGGACTGACGTTCAGATACACACTTTTTTATCTAATTTAACCATTTACTTTAAACCGTAAGAGAATCAGTAAGTCTATTTATTTAATTTTAGCGTTCATTTCTGGAACTTACTTCCTTGTTTACTATGACATCACATCCAGGGTGTGACCAGGTTTTCTACAAACATTATAAGAACACAGGATTCTGATAGGATGACTGATAATTCCCATACTTCAGAAACCATCTGTTGTTTACAAAAGTTCATTTAATGTACTGATGAACCATAAAAAATGTAGAAAAATAAATATTGTGTTTAGACCACTGTGTACTAAGTGACAGAAAGTTACTCCCATCAATTGGGTAAGAATAAAAAGGCAAATAAGTTTGAGTATTGAATAAAATCTAAATAAATACAACTTGCATTGTCTGAGACATAACAAAGACYATGCTTATAATCAAGTCAGAAGAGAAGTGCTTACCTTCTGATGGAGGAATGATGTCCGTTACTGGATTTGAGGGTGCAAGAAGGCACCCAGGAGAGAAGGTGATGTCATCCAAGCAGATGTCCCCCTTCTCACTGTGCCCCACCTTGCCCTCAAACACCACCTGGAAGTCTCTGGAGGAGCTCAGCTGGATCTCCCTCATCTGCCAGTAGTTGCCCTGATCTCCGGTCAGGTTCAGCAGGAGGTGATGATATCCTTCGATTTTGATAAAAACGCTAAGGGTCCCAATACCATCTCCTGACATGTGAAAATAGAAACGCATCTGAACGAATAAAAAGAAAATCAGTCAAACTTTTAACAATGATGCTGATTTTTTTCACATTTATGTTAGAACAATATGACAGGATATTACCAATCACTATCAGTATGATAAAGTGCCATTTCTATTTTTTTAAAGAAATATTTATTGTTGTTGTTGTTGTTGTTGTTGTTGTTAATCATATTTATTTTTATTTATTTAATATTTGTTTTGGACTTAGATCAGTCTCAATAGCTGCCTTTACGAAACAATTTATGAATAAACCATTCAAGCAATTACACCATCAAACAAATGATCCACCTGTAAAAATACAAAAAGGCATCCATGAATTTAGTACATTTGTATTTTATTTAGAGGATGCTATTTGATGGAATGCTTTAAACAAGGATTTTTCATACTCTACCATACTGTGTGGTATTCTAAAATCTAATGAAGATAATGTAACTTAAAAATTACTCTATAATTTTTAAACGGATTTTTCTACTTAGCCACAAATTAAGAGTTTTTGCATTTCATTTTTCATTAATTGTAATTTCTTATTACAGAATATTCAAAGAAACATATGGAATAGACATACAAAATTAAGTTGTAACTTTTAATCTACTAATCTAGTCAGTAACAGGGTGGATGCTCTTTTGCTTTTGGTCATATTAAGCTACTAAAATGAAAAGTGTTACTCCGTCATGCAGCACTGCGATAATAATGTCGTTGTTGTTTTTAATGAAGGAATATTCATGATGTATCAACTGCCCTTCCCCCTCTTCACTTCTCACTGCTCAGCCCTCCCTTCAGTTTATTTTTATTTTTTCCCTTCTTGCTGGTTGCAGGATGGATTGACAGGTCAGGAGTGGGTTAAGACGCAAACTACACAGAGCAGGCAGGGC